ACAGCAATTATGCTGAGTCAGGCTTGATTTTTAATAATCTTTTCCTGTTAAATAAATAAATCAAATCAAATTGCAGCCGTATGTTTTGGACACTCAGCTGAAGACAGGAGCTGAGCTTGTCAACTGATCACCTGGTGGTGAGTTGGATCAGATGGGGGTAGATGCCGGACAGAACCCAGCAGACTCAAACATGTAACTTGAAATCTGTTGCCCTTGAAACTGGCACGTATGCCCGTCAAACAGTTTGTCTTACCAGAGTGTGCTGGGGGTAAAACTGGATACTAACTCCTTGGACTGAAAACAGTCCAACCGATTTGACCTTAAGATCTGCACCAAGGGCGGTCTTGAAGAACCGCACCGCCAAGGTACAGACGAGCCACCTGGAAGCAAAGCACGTTGACAGTATGTTTGACCCAATTCTTGTAGATTTAAGGAAACAAAAATGATTTGATTATAAAAAATGTGTTTATCAGAATTACCAAATAACAGTAAAGTGTGTAGACTTTGAAACCTCACCTGAAAATGACACATGATGCAATCACAAGCAGCAAAATAACAAGGAAGGATATGAACACAAGAGACATTGTGTCCCAAGTTGTTCACACCCAAATCTTGGACATGGGTCTGGCTTCTGCTCTCCTGTCAAACAGGAAGAGATTCAACACAAAGCATCACCACATGAATGCCGACAGGCGTCACTCACCGAGTCAGTCACATTACACATACAGAGTACCGCAGAAGTTTTCCATAACTGTCTTAACCTGAGAACACATTCAGCATGCAAAGCAGCAGGCGTACGCTAACCTTCACAACAAACCTCAAGTGCTAACGTTGCTAAATAAAGTTGTTAAACGGAGAACGAACAAGGCTGAACTTCATAAAAAAGAAGAAGAAAAACAGCTAACTGCGTGCAAACCTTGTTCATCTAGTTCGTTTCCTTGTCACCTGAGATTAAAACAGGTGAACTGTTGGCAAAGGGTGGCAGCGTTAGCTTAAACTGGTCTTACACGAAATAGTTAAACACACTTCGCCGCCGCGTCACCTCAAAAGATCTTTAGCGAGCTAGCATGCTAACGGCTAACAGGACTGCCGCGAGACTAAACCGCACAAATTAGCTAATATTTTTCAGCAACTGCGGGGGGGAGTGCGGGTATGATGGAGGTCTCCTTGTATTTAACGAAGTCGCTTACCTTGAATCATTCAAAGCACCGGGTCGATCATGCATATTGAGGTTTGATGAGCTGTTACTGCTGCTCGGGTAGAGTTCAGGTGGTCCGCCCTGCTGCTCAGCTGCCAGATGACAACAGAGACAAGCTTGAGCTCCAACAAAAACTGTCACAGATACTTTTTTCACTTAGAGTATAATGCGTTTTTACACTCTACACAAAGAACTTTAAAATATGAAAATAAAATAAAAATACAAATGTTTTTTTTTGGAACTCAACAGCTGATGGGAGCATTTATGTCCACAATATCTATCTATCTATCTATCTATCTATCTATCTATCTATCTATCTATCTATCTATCTATCTATCTATCTATCTAT